AGGGCTTGACATAGTGAAGGGCTAAGTAAAAGATTGGGTTAACAGAGAAATGCAAAGGGTTCTTGTAAGTTTTTGATATGAATTGTAGAAAATCTGAAATCAAACTGAGTAAGAGGAAAAACAAGAATAGAGATTTATGCTTGATGACTGAGTTCAACTCTAAGTCAACATGGAAAGAAGCAGAGCAGGCATCTTACCTTACCCATGTCAGCTCAGGGACTGCGCATCAAAGCAGTGTGGGGTCGCGGCAGATGAGCATGCGTGCGTGAAAACAGGCACTGCTGTGTAGGAAGTAATGCCTTCTTCTGTTAATCTGTTGCTTGTATGGAACTTCTTAGTCTGTGCAATGCTTCAGGTGCCTGAAATATATAACAGACTGATTTCTACAGGTTGCTCAGGAGATAGCTGGAAAGCTTATGAATGGAGAGTGCCAGCATCTTGGGAAGTTGCTGGGGAAGCTGGAGCACCCAAATTGCTCCTTGAATGTTCTGAAGGTAATGACCTCATCCATTTATCTGGCTGTTCCCCAAGCTCCTAGGCCAGGGGAACTTCCTTTGGGAAGTGGGAGCTGTAGGTTCAGCCCTTAATAACTCGGTCTCCTTGAGAATTGAGCCCACAATAGCCATGGAGTGTGACTAGGATGGGCCTGATCACTGTGTCTCTGTCACCTGGGCAGCTGTACATCTTTCCCTTCTGTCCTGCAGATCCTCTACACTGGCTGCTATGCCAGCCCGAGTCTGTGCCAGCACCTGGGGAAGAGCCAGCAAGTATGGGACTTCCTCATGCAGCTCTCAAAGGGCAAGGTAGAACTTCACTGCAGCCCCTGTGATTGGGTAGGAGTGCATGACCCATTTCTTTGGGTGCTGCTTACACCAGGCTGGGTGTTGTGGGAAGAAAAGTGTGTGATGGAGCTCAATCTGTAGAGTGCAGTTGTTGTCTTCCTTCCAGGTCTCAGAAGCATTCCCTCCTCCCCTCTCAGTCTTGCTGTTCCCCTGTGACTCCTGCTCCCTTGGCAGGTCCCCATGGCGGAGGTGACTCAAAGGGTGGCCTGTGAGGCCTCCCTATACCTGCTGACCCTGCTTACCCTGCAGCCCCAGGCCTCTCCTTCCAGGTAAGCACCAGCTTTTATCTGTGGGTAAAGTAGGAGCATTCCCTGTCCTGTACAAGTCTCTGCCCTACACTCTACTCAGAGCTAGGCTTCTGGTCCTGCTGATCCCTCTGATCCTGATGCCTAGATGGATGCTGGGGATGCACTAGGGACAGAGAATGGGGAAGGAAGCTCTGTGAATGAGGAATCACTTGTCTTCCTGCAAAGTGGCTTCTTCCCATCCTTGGGAGTATTTGGATGCTGCTGCTCAGTTGGATGTACAGGCCTGGAAATACAGCACTGTGAGGAGGGCTTACTGCCAGTGTTTCACCTCTGGTTCCTGTGTTTCAGGCTTGAGGAGGTGGTTACCCTGGCCCTGGATCTGCTCACTCAGTCTCCTGTCATATCTGTTGTGGTAAGTCTGTCCATTCTGCCAGAGGTGCCGTAAGGAATCCTGCAGAGCCCCACATCCCAATTGGGTTTTACTGTTGCTTCCTCAGGATGGGATGGGATGGGTGCAGCTGATCTGTCCTTGCCCTAGTCTAATGGATTAAGAGCAGATAGGCAAGTCCTAAAGGTGCTGAGCTCTGTTTCTTCTCACAGGGTGCTGCAGCATTCCTCCTGACACAGCTTGATCAGCATGGGGTGCCTGTTGCACTTGGAGGAAAAGAAATCTTAACAGCAGTGACAAACGCACTGATGGAGCCTGCTGAGGTATGGAATAGGGCCTGAGGAGCAGGGAGTCCTTGCTGTCACCCCAGTACAAAGGTTTGCAGGCAAAGATGGAGTAAGAAAGATATGGGGTCTGCTGCTGCTTCCCTCAGAGCAGTGCTCAGATCCAGCCTGTCCCACATTCTTCTACAGTTGCATTTCTCCCTGCCTATGGGTGCTGGTCTCTACGATGGGATCATTTTCCTCCTGTTGAAGCTGCTTGCACAGGTACCGACCTTCCTTTCACCCTTTGCCTGGGCCAGGCGTGGGGATGCGGAGGCCAGAGTGTGGATTGGTGGTGAAGGATGGGGAAAAAACAGGAAACTGTAGAGCTTTAGCTGAACTGTGCAACCCCATGAAAGTCACCTAGGGTTGTCTGTGGAGCTCAGGAGGGTTGATGGGAGGATGACAGGCAGAGAGGAGTGACTTATGGATGTATCAGAGTGGGAGATAACAGAAATGCCCTGAGACTGGTGCCATCAGCAGGGGCAGGAGGGCTGTAGGCTGTTTGGTTCCCTCTTTACTCTTTGGGCGATCCAGCCCTGGCTTCCCTGGGACCATGGGGCTGGTAGAATCATAAACTGGAACCCTGGAGAACAGCCTGGAAGCCTGTTAACACTTTTCTCCCCATATGTAGGAGGATGTAGCTGTGGAACAGAGCTTTTCTGCCTCAGAGTTGTGGAGCGTAGTGTGGCGTTGTGTTCCTGCAGTGCTTTGCATGAGTGGCAGTGGATCTGCACTGGAGGGAAACAGCCCAGAGGCAGGGCCCCCTGTGGCAGAGCCAGACTGGAGCCTTCTCTCACCTCAAGGTAGGAGCTGTGGGTGGAAAAGGTATCTGTCCTGTACCCTCCTCCTCATCCTGCTCTCAGGCTTGCTCACATGTCTATCCCCATCATCATCTGATTCCTAGGCCAGAGGGTCCAGGGATTGTTCTTGAGGATTGTTGACCTTCTGCAGAGAGTGAGGGCTCTATGCAGCACAGGCAGACAGAAGAGAGGAGACTTTTTCAGTCTTCCCTAGTTTTGCCTCTCTGCCATGCTGTTCCTCCTGCAGGCACACTGCTTTTCTTAAGCCTGGCCCTCTTCATCTTCACTCGTGAGACCCACCGGTGCCTGCCTCAGTTCACCCAGTCCCATGGTGTCCTCATGGTGATGCTGAAGACACTGCTGTCTCCTCGCTTCCTGGCGTGTCTGGCACAGACGTGAGTTGGGAAGGCTGAAGTGGGCAGTGCTCAACAGCTGATTTTTATTTTTATTTCCCCCCCATCATCTCTGTATTAAGCCCAGTCTCTCTAACAAATTCAGGCAAGCAAGGGAGAATGGAGAGGCTGAGCTCATCCCAGCTGTAGTGATGCAGGCCTGCCAGCTCCTCTGTTTTCCTTTTGCCCTGGATGTGGATGAAGACACCATAGCATTAGTCATCGAGGCAGTGAGAGACTCCCAGATTCCTCCCCAGCTACTGCAGGTACACTTCTACCCCCACCTTTGTCTTCCCCTCCATAAACTGGAGACAATTCCCCACATCGCAGCCCATGCTGGCACTGCTGTTTGTACCCAGCTGGGGACAACACTTGAGTGCCATACAGCCCTCAGTGCAAGGATGATGCCCTCAGCACTACTGTGTCTCCTTTCTCCTTAGGTCTGCTGTCACCATCTGCCTTTGTCAGACACTGAGCTCCCCATGAGCCTCCTATGCCGCCTTGTTGTGTCTGATGAGCAGGTCACAGACCAAATAGCAAGGGAGGCTGCTGCCTCAGAGCACATCACTGCCTACTTGAGTACTGTCCTGTTTTCAGGCAGCCTCACGCTCACAACTGACCTGCTGTCTCTCTTGACTCACGTGGCTCGGACCTGTCCAGAGCACCTGCCCTTCCTCCAGAGGATTTTAGGGGGTTCAGACATGACCTACCATGCACTGACCCACCTACTCAGCCACCAGGAACACCCCATACGGGCCAAAACCTGCAATCTGCTGGGCAACCTGCTCCGCCATAGCCATGGCTTTCCCCAGGTGTTGCAGAACCAGCCTGGCTTACTGGAGAGCCTGCTGGTGTGTCTGGCTGATGAGGATGAGGCTGTGCGCAAGGCAGCCAGCTTTGCAGTGGGTAATGCTGCTTATCACGAGTCCTCCCCAGCTGGGGCTCTGGGCAAGGCCGTGCCCAGGCTGACGCAGCTGCTGAGCGATCAGCAGGCCAAGACACGCTGCAACGCAGCCTCAGCCCTTGGCAATTTGGGCCGGCGCTCGGCAGAGCTCGGGGAGTTGCTCGTGGAGAGCGGGACACCACGCATCCTCCTGGAGGTGGCCTGCCGGGATCCCCAGGCCAGTGTGCGGGAGGGAGCACTTATGGCTCTGTGCGCTGTCAGCCAGCACCCTGGGATACAACAGGTATCGGCCCTCACCCCTCCTGTGGAACAGCCAGTGGTGTCAAGGGGACGATGCAGGGCTGACTGCTGATTGCTGTGCCTCTGTCCACAGGTGTTGCTCTCCCTCAGGGCCAGTGACCAGCTGGCTGCGCTAGCCGGCAGTGACTCCTGGCCCACGGTTGGTGGCAGCCCCCGGCCTTCATCTGCATGCCACTGCCAGAAGCTCATCCGCCTCCTCACACCCCTGCAGAGCACCTGAGGGAGCCCAGTGAGTCCACGCAAGCTATGTGTGTCTGGCTCGTGCCCCACACTGCTGAGAAGGGCTGAAGCCAGCAGTCACCCCGATGCTGGCATCGGGATGGAAGAAACGCACCTTCTGACCCACAGTGACTGCTGGCTGCCCCAGGGAGCTCTGCCTGGCCTCTCCGGCTGTGCCCTGGATGCACTTATTAGAGCTGAGGATGATGACACCTACAGCGCGTTGCTGCAGCACACCCGGGCTGCGTATGGCTCTGATCAGAAGCGCCAGTCTGCGGCGTTGTACCGAGGAACCCTTCTCACGTGGAGCTTTTTTCGGAACAAGTGCCTGCGATCTCCAGGACAGTGCCCCCCTTTTCAGCCGCAGCACTGAGCGGTGGCCGTGCCCGCTCCTGCCGTCCGTCCTCACTGCGTCCCTCTAACTACTGCCTATTCGGCCGCCAGGGGGCGCTGCGGGCGCGTGGCGCGGTGTACGTCGGGAGCTGTAGTCCTGCCCGCCGCCCGCGGGGCTGCCGGGATGCGCGGTCACGTGGCAGCGCGGCGCCGGCCGGGATCCCCATGGTAACGGCGGGCCGTCCGCGGGCGGTGCGGGTCGGGGCGCGGCGGGCGGTGAGTACGGGCCGAACCCCCCGCACCCCTCTTGAGGGCCGCGCCCCGTTTTCCGGTGAGGAGCGGGTCCCTGCGGGAGCCTCTTCGCTCCCGATCTCCTTTATCGCCGGGGCTCCCGCTTTAAGGCCTCCCCCCGGGAAAGGCCTCCGTCGCGGCCCGCCCCGGGGCTCGGCGGGGCCCCGCTGTGTAGCGGGCGGCCGGGAGGGTTGAGGCGCGGCCCTCTCGGCACGTGGCTGGAAGTGCGCCTGCGGGCTGCGCTGCCGCGTGTCCCGGCCCGGCACGTGCTGTGCCTGGCGCCCCGACCCTCCGGCACCACCGCTCTGGGGCTGTTTGGAGGCTGCTTCCCCACTCGAACCTCTGCCTCTCCCCGTGTCTTCAACGCGGGCAGCTCTGCTTCTGATAGTCAACCGTGTGGGGTGAGGTGATTGCGGAGTGTGTTTCTTCTAGGAGTGCTGAAGCTCCGGTTTCGACTGGGAAGGGTCTTCATCATATACCCGGGGCTTTTTTTTTTTTTTTTTCTTTTTTTAATTATCCAAAATATACTAAGAAAAGAGGCTGGACAAAGAATTGTTGTGTGTTGAACTAATTCACAGTTCTTGTTTCCTTGTTTGCTGTTATTTTATACTTGCACCACTCACCACGAAACTTCCATGCTTATGTTATTTCTGTGCCCCAGACTGAGCGCAGCCAGGCAGTGTGAGAGCAGAGCGACCTGTGCTGCTCTCTCCTGCTGTTCCTCCCACTGTGAAGCTGGATGGAGAGTGCTGTCCCATCAGCTTGTTCTGCCGGGGTCTGCAGGAAGGTGCTCTGCACCTTTTCATTGTAACTGTCAAGGCTGTGAAATGCTGCATGTTCTAACTGCTTATTTTTAACCCAGATTCATTTCCACACTCTCATCATATCATCGGCTAGCGGCTGAGGAGGTATGACTTAGGGCAGGGACTTTCCAGCTTCAGTGATGAGAAAATACAGAATTCTCTGCTTTTCTGTCACTGACCCCCATTGGTGGCCTGGGGACTCTTGGCAGGGAATCTCTGTCCTATCAATACCAAGAGGTTGCTATGAAGGCTCAGGGAAATGCCTTGCCCAGCCCTTAGAGCTGGGGCAGGGTGGCAGCCTTGCTGCTTGCTAGCAGTTTTGCTCCACATTCAGGACTTTTTGTTCTCTGTCATTGCCGCTGCGCTCACAGAGCAGTCAGCCCACTGCTTCCAACAGTGTCCTGTTAGCACGGAGTTCAGCCCTCTGTTATTTCAGCTTTCCCTCTGTGATGAAGCCATAGCTTTTCTGCCTAATCATGCTGAAGTCCCTCGCCTCATCTGGCACCATGCGCTGACGTCCTGAAAGCAGTGAGAAACGTGCAAAGTCCCCTGTGACTCAGGCAGCTCAGCTCTTGTTGTCCAGTGCAGCGTGAAGGCCCCAGCCTGTGCAGGGAGCAGCTGCTTGCTTGTGCCCTGGGGTGAGGCCCTGGCTGGGCTCCAGCTCTTGGTTTGGTGCCTGCTGCCTGTATGGCTGCCTGCCTTGCTTTGGGGAGCAGTGCCCTTCTCACAGTTTCTCTTAGGTGTGGAATTGAAAATCACAGCTGTTCAATGGAAGTGAACGGCCTCAGCATACAAGCAATCCCTGGATGCAGGTGGAATTTGCTGATGCGTCCAAACCACATCTGGTTTCTCCCTGGTGTCTCTCCTTAACTGGAGTAGCCAAATGCAAACTTCGGTATCTTGCAGTCTGCACTGAATAGGGGAGGATTTGCTCATTGCCCCAAGCCTTTAGTTTTGCACCCAGAAGAGGACAGCTGTCCCATGGGCGTTCCTGGGGCAGCTGAGCTGTCTCTAAGCCTCCTTGTCCTTGCACACTTGCTTTCATGGCTGGCAGCGGCATCCCATCCTCTTCTCCTGGAGCTCACGGGTGGCCTGATGTGTTTGTGTATGGTGTTGTGCAACTCCATGCTGAGTTTGGGGCTGCTTCTTTCTTGGAGCTCACCTAAATGAGGGTGGTTTCCATGCTGTTGGAACATGAGTTTGTGTCTTGTTACTGGGCATACCAGGAGCTCAGGCATGCACAGTAAGTCACAGTGCTTGATTCTGTTGAAAGCTTTAATTTTTTTTAAGCTGAATAGGTCCTTATGAAAGGGGTATTGGCTTTAAATCCTATTTGTGTTGTATTGTTGTTAACTCTCTTGTTCAGGCATTAATGGAATGCTGTAAAGCTTCAAGTGAGGGATGTGGTGTGACCTCAGATCTCCCTTATTAAAAAACTTGATCCTTTCTGACTGTAAAGAGCAAGGCTGAAAGCGTGACATAGAAAATAACACCAGATCACACATATCTGACTTTGTTTCCTTTCCACTCCTGTGACTTTTGGATGCATGAGGCTGACAGCACATTATCAGGTCAGCTCACAGCCCATGCATTTGCAAGCTCTTGTTATTTTAAGTGTGTCACCACAGCTGAGTTTAAAATAACCTTCCTGCTTAAACTCACGTGTCGGAGGCTTGCTTTGCTCCTGGGCTCTTTGGGGCTCATCCTTTCCATGGAAGCAGCTCTGCTAGGAGCCCAGCAAGGGTAGAGCTGGAGGAGCTCTGCTCCCCTGCTGCCTCTCAGTGGGGCACACAGGGCAGGGGCATGTGGTGGTCCCTGCAGTGTGAGAGTCGTCAGGGCTGTGGCTGCGCTCCAGCTGACGTCCCAAGCAGGCTGTGTGGTAATAAAAGGTGCTAGCTGAATAACTGTGAGCAGGTGCAGCTCTACAGTCACCATAATGTGACAACCTTAGCCTCTTTATTTATTGTGTGTCAATAAGTCCAAGCCAAAATCCATTAATTACCAGTAATGATGTTTGGGCTGGACTTCCAGCCCTGCCAATTCACCCTGGGAGCGGAGCAGGGCTTTTCCCAGCTCATGTTTCCACAATAAAACTTCCAAATGTTGTTGTACTGCTGTTGTGAGTGCCAGTGGGGACTGCTGCCCTTTGACCTTCCTGGCCAGACCCCTGCCAGAGACAGAAGTGAGTGAAGCAGAAAGGAGAAATCTCAGTGAAGGGCGCCCAGTGGTGATGTGGTGGCTGTCTGAAGCCATGGGGCTGCGGCAGCTGCTGTCCTGTGGTGTCCATTGCCTGGCACCTGAGAATGCTTGCATCTCCTCTGCTTCTTCTGGATGCCTCACTGAGCTGTCTCTAAGGTCACCCAAAGTGGAGGAATTCTAGGGAGGCACTCAGTGCCCATTGCTTGGGCATTGTTTCTGGGCCTAGCAAGCCTCTTCCCTATCAGGTTAATGCATCTCCTTGTCCTGCAGCTGCTGTACCACCGTATGTAAGCCTCTGGTGCACTCTAAATCCCTTGTTACAGCTCTATCAAGGCAAATCGCTTTTATTTTTATAGTGAGATGAGGTGGGCATAGCTGTAAAGCCTGGAGGGATGAAGCACAGGTGGCTCCCGCTGGGTGGTCACACATGGCCAAGCTGCCAGCAAGGCACGGTGACCTCTCAGAAAGAGTCCCCTGCAGGCCAGGACACTGGGGATGCCTCTGTTAACCTCTTGGTATTTTAATTTTAGGATTTCATGTCTGTTTTCCTGTTGTGCTGGGGTCGCTTTGGGGTTTGAGTGTGCTTGTTTGGCTGGGCATGCAGGTGCCAAGCTCCAATACTTGTTTACTTGGGGAACTCGAGCCAAGCAGGTGGCAGTGTCTGAGCACAGCCTCCTTGCCCTGTGCTAATCGCTGTGAATGTCACAACACGGCTGGGCTGCTCGCTGCTCACCGATCGGGTGACACGGCATGACCCAGTTCTGGAGGACATGTGCAGCTCCTGTAGGAGTGTTTTGGTGAGTAGTGGTGTGTCTGTGGGGCCAGAACGAAGCATCCCCAGGTTAGCAGGATCCTGGTGGTGCCCCTGCTGCCTTCTGAAGGTGGTGCAGCTCATCCACAGCTCTGAGCGTGGAGTGGAGCTGAGACTTTATGTACATCCTGACAGGGTAGTGGCTCCTTAAGGTCCTGTGCAGGATGTTTCCATCTCATACAGCATCTGGTTGGGATGCTGTTGGCCTGCTCTGAGCATGCATGGGAGACTGGGAGTGTGCGCAGGGTAGGGGTGAGCCTAGCCCAGCCCTTTGGTGGACCTGAACTGTTCTCATGGTGCTGCAGAGAAGCACTTCTGGTCTGGGAGCTACATTTCAAGTGCTGCAGCCCACGCTTGATTTTCAGGTGACAAAGGAGTGTGTGTGCACTGCAAGACAATGAAGGGAGTGGGGGGTTGGTTAATGCCCTGCTTACCTTTCACTGCTTTTTTTGGGTGTGTTTTTCATTAAGCTTGAAAGCAATTTCTTATCGTGGCTGTATCCAGGGGGCCCTCCAGGCATAAGTTAAAGCAAGGCAAATATCTGGCACGTGCTTTGTTTTCTCTCTCTTCTCCCCAGGCAAAAGAATCATACAGGTGCAATGCAATTGTTTGAGGAGGATTTAGGGCACCAAGTGCTGTGCAGCATTCTGGTCTGCTGGCTGCTCCTTCTAAGAGTATTTTCTGTAGGGCCACGATTAAAAAGAATGCCTGTGTAGTGCAGGCAGTCTGTGCCTGGCACAGGTGATGGTGTTGGAAGAGCCCTGTGTTTTCTGTTTGCAGCCTTCTCACTCCTGGGCTGTTTCTGTGGAGTTACCAAAGCAAGAAACTTATTCATTGTCAAAGTGAAGGCTGAGGTTCTTGCTAAGCTGTGTGACCTTGGGAGCTGGAGCCTTAAGGAAAGGAGAAAAACAAGAAATGTTTGGGGGCTGCTGTGGAGCCAGGAGAGCTGCCTTGCCTTGCCAGGCTAGTTGTGGCAGCCAGGGCAACCTTTGCTTTCACAAAGTCAAAGCTTTTGTGTGCACAGGAGTTTTCCCGGGACCCTTTGTAAGTTGTCCTTCGTGTCCTCTGGTGTCAAGTGAGATGCCAGCACTTTCTTTGCTGTGGTCTGGTCCAGAGAGACCTTTGGGAAGCCTTGGCAGAGGGAGGGACATGGGTTTTGATGCCACTTGATGCCCTCCTGGCAGCAGTTGAGCCTGGCGCTTTAAGTGCAGTGGTGCAGAGACATCCTGTAAGAGGCCAGCTTTGCTGTGGCGATAAGGAGGAAAGCAGGTGTGCTGCTCAAGTCACTGTGTTTCACGTAGTCATCTTGTTTCAGGCCAGTGAAGGTGCTGCAGTGGATTACAGACTTGCTCTTGCCTCGTGCTATGGCTCTACATGGCCTCAGCAGGACCACAACGCAATAACCTGGGCCCCAGACAGGAGGAGAGCTTTGGCCTCGGGACAGACACCCTTGCAGCAGAGCGACAGCGCAGAGCGTGGTGCCTCGCCCCTCAGCAACACGCGAAACCCATCTGGGCTTTGGAGAGGCAGCATGTGAATGCCCACCGGGATCTCAGCCCGCCGCCCTCAGGGATCCCTTTGCAACAGTCATGCTTCTTGTACCCGCCAGCACCGTGCCCATCGCATCCCATTGAAAGCTCCCAGCCCTGCCTGGAGCTGTGTGGGAGCACGCTGCTCTACCAGCGCTCCTGCCTGAGAGCCAAACCCTACCACTTTCCTTTCTGGAGCCCCCAGGACACCAGCTCTGCCTCAGGAAGGGCAATGTCTTCCTTGATGATGGAGCCCTGCCTGCCACCTGTGCTGCCTGAGGAGCGTGCAGGGTCTGGGCTGAAAGGCTCTGCCCTCAGCTTGGGCTCAGCTTGCCCTCAGCAGGCTTCCAGTTCCTGCAGACCAGTGCTCCACAGCAATTCCTTCCTACAGCCAAGCAGTGCTAAAGTGCCTTTGCTGCAGTCACCGGGAATGAAGAAGCTGAAGAACACCGCCAGTTTTCCCACCATCTCATGGCCACGCTCCAGGACTGATGGAGACTGCTTCCCCCACAGCCCTGCAGTGCAAAGCAGTGACCAGGAACAAACCTCTGCCTCCTCCTCCCTGACCCTCGTGCCCAACAGTGTGACCCTTAGGAATGAGTGGTGCTCTTGGCCACTGGGGGAGCCTGAGAGGAAAGCATACAGGTTGTGTGAGGCAGAACCCAAGATCAGCCTCACGGCAGCTGTGCAGCAGCTGGTTGGACAGACTGCCACCTGCAGTGGCTTTGGACACGAAGTTAAAAGCTCTGGCCTTAAGAATGCAGGTGGCTTGTCCAACAGAGACAGATCAGGGCATCGCATCATGGCACACCTCACTTCAGAGGAGACCATTGCTCCCCCAAACTTGGAGATGGGCAGCCATCATCTTAATGGTAACTCAAGCCTTATAGGCTCCGATGGTGCTGTCGTCTGCACTAAACGGATCAGTGTTCATCTCCTGGCCTCCCGTGCCAGCTCTCCTGACCGCAGCTCCAACTGCCGGCTCACAAACACACTGACCCTGCGTGGCAGTGAGCAGGGAGCCAGAGCAGAGCCTCAGCAGCTTGCTACCATCTCTGAAGTGGCCACTCAGATGTCCAGCATCCAGCTGGAGAAAAAGGATAAGTGTGCCCACGCAATGCTCCCAGAAAAGCCTGAGTGAGTAGAGCATGGGGAATGAGAGAGGCTGTGGGGAGGTGGGGTTGGACTGGCTTTCTTCTGGGTTTGTGTTGGAAAAGGCTATACTTAGAGCAGTGCAGGGGTGACTGCGTCTGTGAACAAACCCATACGAAACATCCTATTGCAGGAGGAGCCTTTCTGCTATTCCAGGTCACGCAGGCCCTTGGTGGCTCTGAGCCCTCTCATCTACTTTTTCAGCCACAGCATGGAAGCGTGGTGGAGCACTGCTTGTCAGGCTCTGCATGTGTTTTGGGTGAAGGTTGCTGTCAGGCCAGCTCCAACAAAGCTTTCCCTGGGCGAAAGTGTGCATTCCTGAAGGAACATGGCATCAATGTAGGACAAAGAGAATATGGAGCAGCACTGTGGGCTTCTAGATGCTTTGGGTTTAGAAAGTATTTACCACTCTCTAACGTGATGTCCTTCATCGCAGTGTTGCTGCTGGGGAGTCACTGCTGGAGCTGAGCCATCCCCAGGACGATGTGGAGGAAGAACTTCCTGGTGGCCTGGATGAGAGCTGCAGTCTGGAGGAGGAAGAGAACAGTGAGTGCCCATTCCCCAGGGGGAGCTGAGCTCTGCCCCTTGGTGTGTGCAGGGGCTGTCTGGGAGTGAGGTGTGTGCACAGCAGGAAAGCTGTGACTGCACACTGTCTTACGTTCTTGCTGTCATTTTGGGATGACCTAGAGATTGTGTGGAAGTCAAAATCAATCTAGCAGCAAGGAGAAGTTGTGGAGGTTCCTCTGGGGAATGGAATAGGGTTTAAACTTGCCCTGCTCCAGTCTGAAGGGCTGTTGGCTCTACTTTTGCCCCAGTCTTCATAGTGGGTTAGTGGGTGAAACTTAGGATTCAAGAACTTGGAGCAGCTGTGAAGGGTCTGTCCACAGAACCATTTGTTTTTTCTCTTCCCTCCTGCAGGTGACTCGGATGCTTCCTCTGTCACTGGCATGTCATCTAATGACTCTGTGGCTCTTGTATCCAGGTTAGTAGCTCTAAATAATGCACTGCAGCTTGGCATTTTTGTCTTCTTGGTGGCAGAAGAGAGGTGTAGCATGTGAGGGAATAGAGTGAGGATGGCAGCCAGCTTCCCAACCAGAATTAGCTTCCTGAAGACCAAAGCTATGGACAGCAGCCATAGAGTGTTGAGGGTACATCCACCACAGCAAAGCAGGGGTCTTAATTTCACTGCCACAGGCAGTTGCTGGGTTAGGTTTATTGGATTACAGTGTTTATTGGATCTTGCAGTGTCATTGCTTTGCAGATGAAGCAGAGTGGAGGCATCCTGGGTCCACGGACTGCAAACAGCTTGTGGGGTCTTGTGTCTCAGCACTGCATCCTAGAAACAAGACCGCAACCTGGGTTTTTCTTTAGCTTTTGGAAAGAGGTTTCTTTGGCCGTGGTTTGGTCAGCCTGTGGTCATCCGAGCCCTGCCTCTGATTCCTGGCAGACCTTTGTGGGATCTGTCCTTGGTCATGCTGCAGTGCTGCTCTTTGCAACTGTGGTGGAAGAGATAAAGGAATACTAACACACTGACTTCTTTTGCTTCTTCTTCATCCTTACTTCCTTCACTGCATGCAGTCAGACCTGCAGTACTGGGCAGTCCTTCACCTTCTTCCAGAAGTCACTGCACCCGCTACCAAACTCCCACCAATGATGCCTCACGCATTCCAGCCCTCACCTCTGCAACATTTGTTACATGCTCTGCTTTTAGCATCATTGTACCTCCTCCCTGGAACCATTCAGGGCCAGCCTGGATGGGCCTCTGAGCAACCCGGTCCAGTGGGAGATGTCCCTGCCTATAGCAGGGTGTTGGAGCTAGGTGATCTTAAGGGTTCCTTCCAACCCAGACCATTCTATGATTGTATGTGTGATACACGTATGTAGCAATAGATGTATTTATTAATGCTGTGCTTTCTCTCAGAAAAGTGCTTTGTCTAGGGTTTGACATGGTAAGATGATGTATGTACGTTCAATAAAACTCCATCTTCCTCCCTTAAAAAATGCCGAAACCAAGAGGGTTATGACAACTTAAAGGTATCTGTGTTACAATCTCTAGCCCATGTTCCTGTGGACCGGGTTATAGGGTTTGTTTTGTAACAAGCTCCCTGCAAAACACAGGAGGAGATAATGCTTGGCACGCTTATTTGTTGCAAACTCCACCCCTTGTCTCTGCAGACTGGTTACTGGCTTTTACGCCCACTGCTTGTACCACATTACAGTGATGCAAATTCCTGATAGCAGGATCAAGGCTCTTTGTGGAGCCATCTGATCTGCTGTGGACTAAAACAAGATTTGTGCCAAGGAATTACGATCGATGTGATTTATTGCTGTTTAATAACTTTTAATTACCAATTCTGGTATTGAAAAAAATGACTGTATAGAAATAAACACTTATGAAACATCCCAGCTTCCCTCCAGGCTCTTCTCTTCCTTTCTCTGATCTCCAGCTCCACTGTTGCATTTCGTCTTCAGTGAGGCAAAGGGCAGTGCAGGACACTCTCATCAGTGTGATGTGGCTCCATTTTTGTCTGCTGTTTCCAGTTTCTTGCACTGTTGATTCATTGTAGGTTCCTTGACTGTCAGCGGCCCTTTTGGGGTTGTAACCTCCTCCTGAGGACTCTCTTCTTGTTTCCTGCCTGGCAAGCAGTTTTTGCCCCATCTCCTGTCTGTGGCATTGTCATCCCCTTGTCACTGCATTTACTGCCCTCCTTTAAATATATTTTTGCAAAGGCACCAGAAGCTCATTTCCTTGCTTTGTGGCAATTACGGACAGTATGGTCTCTGAGCATACGTATGCATTTATGGATGTTGAGATGTAAACCAGCCTCTGTGTGACTGCACGTGTAGGTGCTCCCCATGCTGTTTTTACCTTTATTCAGCTGCCTCCTTCTTTGTTTCTCTTAGGAAATGCCTCGAGTGCCTGGACCAGCCCACTGAGGATCAGGAGAAAGTGCTCAAACCCGCTCTTGTCTGCAGTTTATTCCCTAATGTGCCTCCAACCATCTACTTCAGCACTCGTGATGAGAGAGGTGAGCTGGGATGTGTTGCCATGCCATATTCCAGCATCCTGGATCTCCTCTGGCCGTTGTGCCTTCTCTCACCTTCTCTCACATGCCAGTTCTGCAAAGAGGATTACATACCCTCCCTGCAGGCCCAGTGGCTGTGCAGCAGAACGTAGGAAGTGCTGTATCTAATCAAGGTATTGTGTTTGGTTTCTTTTTGTCCTTCACTTTTTGTCGTCTTAGTGGAAAAGCTGCCTTGGGAGCAAAGGAAGCTGCTGCGATGGAAAATGTGCACGGTCACGCCGAATATTGTGAAGCAAACCATTAGCAGATCTCACTTCAGAGTCAGCAAAAGTAAGTTGTGGGAGGCTGGCATCATCTGATACATCGTGTCCTCCCTCGCCTCTAGCTCGTGGGTGTGAGAAGGCAGACTGCCTGTGAAGAGCAGAACAGGAGGGAGATAGGCACTGCAGGATGCTGTGTTCCTGCTTCTGCCTGTCCAGCCTGAAATACATGAACTTTTGGAGTCCGGGCGGAGCCCAGTCTCCCTCTTGGCTTGTCAGTAGTATGAACCAGAAGGACGTATTCCTTGCCCATTTGGAGCAGTATGTGGGGCAGCAGAGCTGCCCTTTGGCTTACTTAAGCTGTGCCTCTAGGTGGTGCTGGCACTCTGAGGCAGCTAACACTCCTCTAGTGCCTGCACCAGCACCGCTGTCTCTTGTGCACATGTACTGAAGAAGAAACTGTCTTTCACTCTGACTGTAAGCGGGGAATTCACGGAGTTGGTATCTTGCTACAGGGGAGACGTGTCGGGGCGGGCTGGGGACACACCGAGCGTTCACAGTTGTGATCCGTACTCTGGTATGTGATCTCCTAATGCTATTAACAGGGCTTTTCTGTGTATCAGGAGACCTCTGCTCAGTTCATTTTGAGGCTGTAATGAGACATGTAGGGCAGACCAAAGCGTAGAATATCTCGCAATGCTACACATCCCTCTGCAGGGCAGAGCTGATTAGCTAACTGCTTCGCTCTCCTGCTGGAAAACAGGAAGGTAAGGTTGTTCGAGGATTAAATGTTTCTTTTGCTCTCTCTCTGCCCAGATCCTTGCACCAGTCCTTGTGGGCAGATGACCCCCCCCCCCCTGGTTAACTGGATCCCTCTCACAGCTCTTGGCTTGGCAGTTTTGCAGTGCTAGTGTGACTGCTTTGTGTTCTTGCTGTGCACTATCCCTGGTGCCCTTCTACTAGCTCCAGGAAAGGGAGGGGATGTTTTTGGGTTGAGAGGGTGTTGTGTGTGGCAGGGTACTCAGTCATGGGCTATTGTTTTTCCTGTAGAAAGCAATGACTGGCTGGGTTGTTGGGGCCACCACATGAAGTCCCCCGGCTTCAGAGCCATCAGGGAGCACCAGAAGGTAGGAGATGTATTGTGCTGACTTCCTTTATGTGTGTGGAGAGAGTGCTGGGAGTAGTTTGGGTGCCTTCCCCTCAGGGCCAGGTGTTGGCTGTGCAGGCTATCCTTGTGGTGTCACTTTAGCTGTGTGGCAGCTGGTATTTCTGTTCTGGGAGATGAGTGCAAGAGGCAGGCACACATGGGAACTGGGTGAACATCTCTGCTGTGAGCATGAATCCTGTACACACCAAGGCTGTAGTTAAGCTGTCTTCACTTGTGGCTTTGTCTAACCACAGTTATTGTTGTTCGAAGTAATCGTTCCAGTGACAGAGTTGAGTCATTGCTGGGTTCAGAGAGGATGTATTCCCTGGCCAGGGAGTGACGTGGAGAGGCAGGAGCATCTCACAGGATCTGGGTTCCTTTTCAGCTAAACCACTTCCCTGGTTCATTTCAAATTGGGAGAAAGGACCGTCTGTGGCGCAACCTGTTGAAGATGCAGACTCGTTGTGGGAAGAAGGAGTTTAATTTCTTCCCCCAGTCCTTCATCCTGCCCCAAGACATCAAATTACTCAGGAAAGCGTGGGAGGAAGGAGCTAGCCGCCAGAAATGGATTGTGAAACCAGTAAGGGAAAAGAAGCACTCGGCACCTTATCCCAACGTAGCTGCCAGGAGAAGATCTGATCTGTTCTTGTTTGTTTTGCAGCCAGCATCAGCAAGGGGCATTGGCATCCAGGTTATCCACAAATGGAGCCAGCTACCCAAAAGAAGGCCGCTGCTGGTACAGAGGTGAGCAAAAGAAAGCAAAGTTGACAGGCAGCCTGGGACCTCTTACTGTCTCGTCTCAGACCAGATCTGGACAGTTGTCACTACCCAGCAAAGCAGAAGCATCTGGTTTGCATCTGGACACCTCTGCAGGCTGAGCACAATGGTGCTGCTGGAAGTGTGGCTCTGTCAGCTGTAGCTGGGTTTACAGGGATGCTGCTGTTTCTCTGTAAGGTTTTAAGGTTTTGGGTGTAAATTGTGGGAGAGCTTTCCTGGCTCTCATTTTCACTGCATTATACTAAGATTGGAAATGCTATGCAAAAGAATTTCACCTGCTCTCCAAGTTGATTGCTGTTTTTGCCTTATGAGGTGGGGCCAAGAGGTGCTGTTCCATGCAGAAATGGTAACTCTGCTGGTGCTTGCTTCTTTTGCAGATATCTGCACAAACCCTACCTCATTGATGGGAGGAAATTCGACCTGAGGATTTATGTGTATGTCACTTGTTACGATCCCCTCAGGGTCTACCTGTTCAAGGATGGATTGGTTCGCTTTGCTAGCTGCAAGTAAGTTGTACAACAGTGGTACAGGGGATCTTCTTTGATCAGCCACTTGTGGCTGTGGCAGCTACCTCAGCTTGGGCAGGAGGCAGTCATACTGTATGGTGGATACTCAGAGCTCTAGCTTGCTTCTGAAGCTCTTCTTGCTGCTGAATAAGCAGTCTTGAAACACACAGGTTCACTCCAGGTGAAAGGAAATGTGAGAGGATGTTTTGTGCATCCACCTTTTCAAGTCAGGATCAGCTCAGGGTAAAGCATTGCTTGAAGTGCAGTCTGTGCTTCAAGTGGATGCACTGGAAATTTAGATGTTTCATCCAGTTTTGACTGTATTGCCTTGTGCTGCTGTAGTACCATCACTGCTTTTGCCCAGTGACGCTCTGGTCTACTTTTATGACTTTGAGGGTGTGATTGCGTCCCTCAGTTCCAGGGCAGCCTGTTCTGTATCTCTTCCTTTGTCCTCCCTGTTCTGGGTCTGTGGGGACGGAAATTGTGGAGGCAGCCTTGTTCCAGGTTCTCTGGGAAAGGGCAGCAGCAGAGTTGGTGTGCAGCCAAACGGAAAGGTGATGAGAACAGAGCTCCTTGCACCATGGGTCTGGAGGCAACCTGTTTAAGCTCAGACTGTTTGTGCTGCTACCATTTCCTCTAGGTACTCCTCTTCAATGAAGAGCCTCAGCAACAAGTTTGTGCACTTGACCAATTACAGTGTGAACAAGAAGAACACTGAATACAAGTCCAACTTGGATGAGACTGCTTGCCAGGGACACAAGTGGTAGGTGCTGTGAGGGGGGAACTTTCAGTGCACAGGGTCGGCTCTGTCTGTTCTCTGTTAAATCAGCCTTTTTTAGTATTACTACCCAAAACTGGAAGGTACCCAAAACTTCAGTATCATCTGCTCCTGCCAGGGGAAATGGGGGCAGCAGAGTGATTCCAATTATCAGGACATGGTGTTGAGAAGCAGTGGTTCTGTTTCTGGTCACTTCAGAAGAAGGCTGCAGTCTTGCAAAAGTTTGTTCCCTGCTGTCCTATAGGTGGACTGATCCAAGTAGTTAGGCACTTGTCTCTGATTCCACAGTGATGTTTAAACTCTTTTAAAAATAGTGCAGGATAGAGTTCTCAATTTGTGGGCCTGGGCTGGTCTTTTTCACTTCAAAGGGAGCTGTGGAGAATGATTTGGTATAATAAAATTGCATTGGCTGGATCTGCTGCTCGGCACAGTTCCTCTGTGGGTACATTGAGAAGGGTCTGCTGTCTCCCAGCATTTGAAATCCTGTGGGACTGCGTTCATCTGTTTTTTGGTACCACCATGCAAGTCAAAACTGACTGCTCCCACATTAAAGATGAGTGGCTGTAATCAACTCCGTCTTGTATGCAGGAGGCCTGACCTTTCGATTCCTGGCCATTAGCCACACAGTCTCATTTAAGCAACATCTGAGCATCCCTGGCTCAGCGTCAGGGAAACTTGCAGCGCTTGGTGTGGTGTGGGAAACTCCTACAAAAGCACAAACACTCTTCCCCCACCATCCTTCTTGCCACATTTATGGAAAAAAAAATTCTCCACCCCCCAAAGCTTCAGTGAAATGGCTGTAGCTAAATGGCTTTTGGGGGCCTTGATGGATTCTTGGTGAGCTGCTTTGCAGTACTCCTGAGGAAGGCCTGCAAGAAGGGGAGGTTTGCTAAGGACACAAAGGGGGAGGGAAGAGAAGATCTGGAGCTGACGTACCATGCTCATGTGCTAATTTGGGACTTACTACTCCAGTACTGGGATAAGTCTATGACAGATTTATGGTTCTGATAGCTTGGTCCTGCAAGAACAGGGGCCAGGCTGGGGAGAATTGCAACCAGGAGTAGAGTGGTTTGAGAATGGCAGAAGGATGCTGTGGTCAGGAAAAGTGGAGATACAACCCTTAGCTTCCTGCTAAAAGCCTTGCCAAGGCTCCCTATTGCTGTTTTCACTTCCCTGGCGGGGCAGGGCTGGGCAGCAAGGGGCCACAAAACAATCTCTTTTGCTTTCTGTCTCCCAGGGCACTCAAAGCTCTCTGGAATTACTTGACTCAGAAGGGAGTTAACAGTGAGGCCATCTGGGAGAAGATTAAGGACATCGTTATCAAAACCATAATTGCGTGAGTCTTGGTGCCCCTTGCTCTGCTCCTGACTGAGGAGTGCACTCCCGGCCCCTCTGGCTCTTCAGCCCCACTCAGTCTAGTCCTTTGGCTCTTAATCTAAGTGCTGCCACCACTGCTGGCTTCAGTCTCTCTAAATCCTTTGTTGTGACCTGTTAGCTGTGTTCTTGCTGCTGTAGCTGCAAGGCATGAATAGACCTGATACTTCCTGGATCCACCTGCAGTGCAGAGGGGAGGACCAAGAGGGTGCAGCATACACGGCACTCTGCCAGCTTGCACCCACTGCACCACTTGTGCAGGATGCTTCAGAATAAAGGTCCCTTGGTGCTGGCTGAATCTTCTATTCAGAAGTGGATCCTGTCTGACAGAGGCCCGGCTTGGGGGGTTGCTCAGGATCTGATACTGGATTCAAATGCAGTGCAGCAGGAGCTTGCAGGCCTGCTTTGGTCTTTCAGCCCATCCGCTCCACAGCATGTGGCTGTGCGCACTCTGTGTTGGCAGTGTGCTGCAGTCAGGTCTCTGCTGCCTGTCTGTTGGAAAGGAGCGTTTTCTCTTGGCTTGCAGATCTGAGCCGTATGTGAACAGCCTGGTGAAGATGTACGTGCGGCGGCCGTACTGTTGCCATGAGCTTTTTGGGTTTGATATCATGCTGGATGAAAACCTCAAGCCCTGGATCTTAGAGGTCAACATTTCCCCAAGGTAAAGCAGCTTTTCCTCCCGAAGTCTGTCTCTGGGCCAGTGGAGGTGGATGACAGCCTTTCTTTTACCATAAAGTAAATCTGGCCTATGATGTCCCCTGCACTGAACAACTGCTTTGAAGACTCCCTCTCCTGATTCCTGCAGAATTCAGAGTCCTTCCTGTCTGCAAAAGCAGCATCCATCTGTAGCTTAGAAACCTGTGCTGGGCATGCCTCAGCTAGAGCCAGGGAATAGTACATTTAAAAAAAAAAAAAAAAAAAAAAAAAAGACCAAGGAAGAATGTGTCATGTAAGGAATGGGTGACGGCAGAGATTTCTTTGTGTGGGCAGAAGTACTTGGCAGCTCTGCTGCCTCACGCACCATTCATTCCTCTCTTGCTTGTTCCTTGGCTCCACCTGGCTATGTGGTCTCAGCTATTCAGACAGGGCTGGGAGCTGTGGTGTGCCTGGACACAGCCTATCCTGCCTACTGGAGTTGGATGAGCACAAACTAGACACAGTAGGGATTGCAGGCTGGACTCTAAGGATGGATTTGCCAATTTCCAGCAACCCTCTGGGTGGAGGAAGAGAAGCAAACCATTTTTGGCTGGAGGGACACTCCAGAGGGAGTGATCACAGGGCCTTCAGGCTCAGAACCTCCATTCTAGCACTCAGACTGCTGTGTTTTCTTCCTCCAGCCTTCACTCCAATTCACCTCTGGATGTGAGCATCAAAGGCCAGATGATCCGGGACCTGCTTAACCTCGCTGGCTTTGTTCTGCCCAGCATGGACAGCGTAGCCTCAAGACCTCAGACTAGAATTGATTTCACCTGCAGGTCAGCCCTATTCTCTTTCAGGGCAGAAAGGCAAAGCAGGCTTTTCTCTTGGAGGATTTCATTTGAGGGCTGCTCTCAGAGCAACATACTGGTTTCTGTTCTGTCAAGAGCCTGTGTTTGCTAGTCCTTCAGCTGGATGTTTGAGGGACTTGCATTATTCCCTGGGTATCTGGTTCCTGCAGTCTCTTCAAGGAAGGATTTATGCCTGATTTACAAGTCCATAGTTGGAAGTGAGAGTAGGCCAGTGTAATTCATGCTTGCTCTGCAGTTAGTCAAGTCCTTCTTCCCCCTGCCAGAACTAGCATGATGCTGAGCTGCACTGCCTCTCCATCTGCTTCAAAGGCTGGCTGGCTGTGTTGGGGCTGGATCTGCTTACCCCATCCCCCAGAGCTGACGTGCTGCCGACTTGAGCAAGAGGAGCACCTGTTATTTTGCAAAGGGTAGAGCAATCTGTTCCTTAGACAGAATTACAGGTGTCAGAGGAGGTAGACCTATGGTTGTGGGTGTGCAGCCTTGTCTTGCAAAAAAGGGAAGCTTTTTTTGCATAAAGCTAATTTCTGAGTGTGTGTGCACCCAGGCCCCTTTTCCTTCTGTTTCACCACAGCTTTGGCTTTTACTGGTTGCAGACCTTGTGCTGTGGGAAAAGGAACCAGCCCTGCTCTGCAGCAGAGTGGTTGCTATATGTACGCTACTGAAGGGGCAGCTTGCTGTGTTGAACACCAGCACACAGTGATGGATGGGCATGAAAGAAGATGGGACTCCCGCCCTCTGCCGGCTCTGTGCCTTCAGCAGAGAGAGAGGCTTGGAGCATGGGCCCATTCCAGTCCAGGGAGCTCTCACCAGCCCATCTGTGACACTTTGATCACAGGCTCGTTTGCAGCTTGTGACTGAGGTGATGAAGGGCAGGTGCCCTTGCAGGAACCTGCAGAGGATTAACCAGATCTTTAACATGGTTCAGATGATGCACTACCAGAGTTCCTGCATCCAGGAACAGGCTTGCTTAACTGTATCTGCTGCCCTGGAAAGGATGTGAGAGGGTGTGTTGTTTTGTTTTGTTTTTTGCATGTGGGCATAATTCCAGTAGATTTTTGTGTTCCCAAGACCCATGCAGTGTAGCCTCAGGGCTCTGTTTGGATCTCTGCTCTACTAATAATCTTTGTGGCAGCAGAACAAGTTAGCTGTGTTGATATAAGTGTTAAAAGGTGTTGGGCAAGTATCTCTGCCTCTGGCATCCCCAAATGGCTCATTTGGGTGCTTAGAATAATTGAGATGCTTGCTGGTCAGAACATACAAAAGACCAAGGTTTCCCATGGCAAGTGGAGCTGGAGATGCATTTGAATATTGGGAATTCTTGGATAATGCATGAATGCTTAATCCCCCAGTGTTCCCCTTTCTTGTACAGAATCAGCACTGAGTAGAAGTACACCCAGGCACAGTGTAGTTAGGGAGCTGCATCTGGAGTGGGATATAAACCTAAGATCTGTCCAGGCTTCAAGTGCTCTGCGTCAGGTCACAGTGCCTTTCTGGCCCTTTTTCATTCTATATGGGTGGGAGGTGATTGTTAATGTTTTTAGTGAAGGAGTGCTGTGGGGCCTGAGCTGGCAGGATCTCCCTTGTTGCCTTGCTCACATCCTACCTGGATCCCATGCTGATGCATAAGGCTGTGGATGCATCACTGATCCCAGAAGTAGTGAAGTCCTTGGAGGAAGCATTCTCTCTTTCATGACATCTTTGTTAGGGTGTCATGCTGAGAGGAGCCTTGCAACATCGGGACTTTGCTTTGATTACTTAAATGTTCTACTGTCTTCTTGTGTTCTTAGTCAGGGCAGTGCTTTGAAAGAGAAGCCCAGACCAGCCTCTGAGTGTTTCACAGCAGAGAAGTTGAAGAAGGCCTATTACTTGACACAGAAGGTACCTGACCAGGTATGACACAACAGTCCCTGGTACCGAAACTGCCAGAGTACTGCCAAGCCACTGTCTCAAACAATTCCATGTTTGTCTCAGTCCCGTTTCCTGACTGTACCTCTGTGTGGGGACACCCAGGTTGTGGGGAGCACCTGGGCTTCAGCAGGTCGCAAGGTTGCAGAAATAAGTCAGGTTTGCTTAAACCATTGTTGCCATGACTCATATTTGCATTGAAGTGGGCATGTGCTGATGGGGGGACAATATCCACTGGTCCCCAAATAAGGTCTGAACACTGCCTGTTTCTCGTATGTCTCTGTGCAGCTCTCACTGCATTTGTCAGTTGACTGCATACAGGTTAGCTAGGACACTTCCCTTGTGTGCAGCCTCTGTCGTAGTGGCAGAAGTGGGGTTTTCAGCAGCACTGATGTCAGCACTGAGTTCAGATTCCTTCATTTTGCAAGTGGCCCTTGTCCCGGAGATCTCAGACTCGTGGAGACCTCTTCCTGGAAGGGTTTGGAGAGTGGGGAGGTGGAAAAAGGAACTGAAAAAACGTAACTCACTTCTCCCTGACCCTGAGACGCTCTTGTCTGCAGGATTTTTATTCTTCTGTCTTGGACATCCTGACTCCAGATGATGTTCGCATCCTGGTGGAGACAGAGGATGAATATTCCCGGCGTGGGCAGTTTGAGCGGGTGTTTCCCACCCACATCTCCACGCGATACCTGCGCTTCTTCGAGCAGCCTCGCTACTTCAACATCCTGGTGACCCAGTGGGAGCTCAAGTACTACTTGAATAAACACAAAGGTAACTGCCATCTGAGAGCTGGCACAGTTACCTGAGTCAGGCAAGTTGCCTGCCTGAGGCCGTGGGAGATTTCTGACCTATGCATTTTGATAAGGAGCTGCCTGCCTCCACGCTAGTTCCCCTCTCAGAATGCTTCAAATGTCAGGAAAAGCTTATTCTGAGTTGATCATAGATCTGGTGCTGAGTTCACCAGCACAATCGAGCGTTTCTAGGTGCCTTGGGATATCCTTGGGATATTTAGTTCTCAACTGAAGCAGCATAGATTCTGCTTTCACCCTGCAACTCCGGCCTCTTATTCCATACCTGTGCCTTTTTTTGAGGAAGGAACAGCTCGAGTCACTGGGGTTTGTCCCTTACAGGTGGTTTGTGAAGTGAAGGCAAAATTAGGCCTGTTCCCTAGCTCCTATGTCTGCTGCTGTGTTCTAACCTAAGAAGTAGCACCAGCATGCATGCAGGAGAAAGGGGCATTTCTCTGAAATACAAGAAATCTATCTCTTATCTCCACTTCTCCAGGACACCTCTGTATTCCAACAAAAAGCATCTTTTAGTGAAGTTTGCTGGGCAGACCATTTCCTTCTTACTCGGGGCAATAGGAGGGGCTGTCCAGGAAAGACAATAGGAGGGACTGTCCAGGAAAGAAAACTGAGTTGTAGTGTAAGATGTTAGAGAACACAGAGCCTGTGGCTCAGGGCTCTCCTTCAAGCCCCTGCCTTAACTGAAGAGGTTTCAGAAGAAGCCAACCCTCCACTGATATAACTGTATGTGCTCCTAATGTCAGCACTTTACGTAATGCACAGCAAAAAAAAAAAAAAACACCAAAAAAAACCTCAAACAAAAAAAATGGAGCGGGGGGTTGGGAGGAAAAGCTTTTGTCACTCTTCAGTGGTATTTAAGCTAATATCAAAGGGGTCAGTAACTGTCTTTCACAGAGATAATAACCTTGCAGCCCTCTCTAGCTGTGCTGTCAGCATGTGTCATTCTTTGCCTTGCTAATGCCTTTTCTGGATGCTCTTCTGTCACTTGGAAGAAAGACCCTGTCATCGTTTTCACTGAAGTGCTGCCCAGAGCTCTGCTACTCGGACTGAGCCCTGGCTTAGTGCTCCAGCATCCTCCTGGCAGCCCAGCAAACAGCACCACCCCTTTGCTGCCCTTCATCTATGAGCAAAACCCAGCCTCTGCCCCCTTCCTTTTCACATCCATTCCTCACAGCCCTCATCTCTCCCTGGCCAGTAAGTTCAGAGCCTTGTCTGGTGCCCAGAGCTGGGGCAGTGCTGCCCAGCTGTCCTGCTCCTCTCAATCCTCAACACATGGGTTTTTTTCCAGGGTCCTGGGGGGTGCTGAAAGGTCACCAAGGAGCACAGTTTGGGAAGCAAGGGTTCCTCCTATAGCTAGAGCTGGTATCATATAGCAAAGCGTGGTAACCCCAGCTGGAGAGCATCAAGTTCCTGGCTGTTGCTCTGCTGGTTCATGAATCTTAAGGCACCTTAGCCTCATCTGTGTCAGGAGTGGAGCCCAAGTCTCAGCCTGTATTGAGCTGTGTGTGCCTGCCTGGCCTGGATGTTTCTGGGCAGGGAGGAGGTGATGCAGTTGGTAGATGTGCCTGGAGGAAGCTACCTGAGCTGCCATCCGCTGGGAAAGGAACTGGTGACTGCGAAGCTGCTCTATATCTGCACTGTAGGAACTTTCACCACTGCAACCCAAATCAGGTGCTGCTGTTGGCAGGCACCAGGCTCAGGGGACTGCCAGTCTGGTCCAAATCAGCAAATCCTGTGCTGCCCCAGTTTTCCTGTGTAGCTGAGCCTGCTGCTCGGTGTGTCTGGCTCCCTGGGAGAAAGGCAGGCACTGCATCACCCCACGCGCTAGCATTCAGCAATGTTTGCTCATACAGAGGGTGAACAGCCTTAGTTTACCCTGTGTTTGCTGGGGCTCAGGCACGCATTCAAGTTATTACTGCATGGTCAGTTCACTCTGTGCAGCATTTTTGCATTCCCTAAGCTAGGGGAGATGTAGCTGTCTATGAGCTTCCCAATTCATTCTTGCTTCTTGTCTGTTCTGTCACCTCCCAGGTCTGGAGCTACTGAAGAAATGGTGTGTCAAAGGCTACCACACTGGGACAGGGACGGATTTGGCCCAGATGGTGAGCATAGCTGTGGATAAGCCAGGGAAAGGTTGCTGTGAAGAGAGGGATAGAGAGTCTGTGAATCTGTGGGTTGTCTGATTCAGGAGCTCTTTCTGTGCCTCCTGCCCTATCTGTTCGTGCTGTTCTTCCCTCTCTGCTAAGGCCTCCAGCAGTCTAGAAAAACCCACGTTTCTCTGTCTCCCACACTAATATAAAATCTGCGCAGTAGATCAAATTGCAACCACTTTGCATCCAAAAATGGTTGGGCACAATGGGCACAGCCTGGCATATTTAGCATCTGGCCTGCCATTTATTCCCCTTGGTAAGAACAATCTCCTTCTGTCACTCCTGTGCCTTAGAGCAGGCTGATCCAGTGAAGAAATCCACTCTTATGACCTCAGGATGCTCTGTTCCCACTTGCAGCAGAGGGATTCATTAAGCAGGGAGTGAAGACTGCTCTGTTTGCTATTCTGGGAACAGTCTGGTGGCAGTGATGATGCGCAGCAGTGTGAGGCAATTGGAGCTGAAGAACAGTAGGGCAGCCTACAGCAGATCCCAGCCTGTTCTCTGTGCACTGTTAGGCTGGGGGATTTTGTCATAGCTTAAATAGCCTTTTGGTTGTCTTTCTCTCCTCCTCTAGTGGTCGCTGCCAAAGTCCTTCTTCCTCCAGAAAAGCAGTGTTCAATCAAATGGCTTCAGCAAACTGGAACCGGACAGGCTGGAGTGAGTTTTCCCTGGCTGGGATATGCACAGTGTGGCTTTTGGGACTGGTGTCCAGAGAGAACTGGAAACAGGAAAAGCAGCTTTGTTTCAGGGGACAGAGAAAGTGATTTGCTTATAGGCTCTGAGGCCAGCATCTCATTTATGGAGAGCAACTGGTAGGGTTCATGTAATGTCTACGAGACTGGGCTTGTCTCCTTGGCACTGTGTGCCCTGATCAGTTGGTGCAAGGCCCCAAAACAGCTGGTGTGGGTGTTGTCTGGCCAGTGGCTGTTGTGGTCCAGGAGTGCTGACAAAATGTGTCCCACAGGGACCTGCACCACCTTGATGGAGAGCAGAGGCTCTGCCCCAATGTAGGGCTGGGGAAGCAGCAAGGTTTGCGGGGCTGCTGTGCTCTGCCAGCTTCACTGAATGAAGTTGGGCTGCAGGGTGGGTGCCACTGCCCTGGGCAGCTTGATACAAGACTGTGGTTCCTCTGAGTGAGCCAAGTGGAGTGCAGGCATACACCTGGCCTCTGGAGTTAAGGGAGAAGAGATCTTGTGCCCAGACCAGAATGTCATTGGGTTTTCATGCAGTCGGAAAGGCCGACCCCTGACCCTAATATTTCTCTTGCAGCAACCTCATCTCACCAAACAGTGGAGATCTTGTGAGATGCCTGGAGCCCAGCCCTGCTCAGAGCTTACCTCTCAACAAATGCACTGTTGGAGCTGACCAGAAACCTGGTGGCTGCCTCTCAGACACTGCCCTGGTGCTGTGAGCAGGCAGCTGCCTTCCCTCCCTGGGGACACCTCAACCTACCTCAAAGGAAGAGACAGAAGCTGGCTCTGGAGCACAAGTACAAGTCCTGTGAAGCTCCCTGCACTGCACACTTTCCAGTTGGTTGTTCCTGGAGAGAGCTGTGTGACTCAGTTTTTAAAACAAATGGCAAAACCTCGCCAAGTTGGGTTTGTGGCTGTTGTTCAAGCCTGATGTGATGATGGTTTCCTTCTGTAGGATCTGGCTGAGTTGGGCGTCACCTCCCTCTCTCCTTTCCTCACCAGTATGGGTTGAACCCCTCCTTGCCTGTGTCGCTTTGCACTAACCCTGAGCTCCAGAGAGCCAGCAAAGTTGTCTGCTCCCCTCTCACCGCAGGCCAAGGCAGGGGAGGGCCAGCTAACACTCTGCTCTTTTGGAAGGAGCAGGGCTTGGGCCTTCCAGCCCATGGGTTTTTATCCTATCTGAGTACTTGTGCCCGCATCCTCTGGTTTCTGCCCACTGCTGCCCCAAGCCCTGGCCTGGCTCCCAGCTGCAGTGGGGCTGGGGAGGGAGCAGCCCCTCACTGCTGTTGGCTCTGTGGTACCCTGCAGTGTGCACACTGGGGACTGCAGATGGGTGCTGCTCTCCTGCTCTCTATTTTTCCCTTCATTTCTGAAGAATTTCCATTAAACTTTTGCACATGGCTGCTCTTGTGCCCTTTCTGTCTGATCACACCTGGTGGCCCCTTCTGTGGTGAAGGCACAGTGGGTGCTTGGCTGGGGCGCTATGGGGCTGGGGCTTGCAGAAAGCCCTTCCCTCTGCTTTCCCTGCAGCCCCCCATGCCTGCAGCAGGCCCTGTTTTCTGGTCTCCTTGGTGACAATCTCATCGCTCCTCGGCTTCTCTCCAGCACCTGAAAATAGCCACCGAAAGTGGAGATGCCTGCTGCCAGCACCGCCGCTGTGGCCAGGCTGGAGCCAGGCTGACCTGCTCGGGGCTGGATGCTTACATCTGCAGGCCAGTATCACACAGTAGTGAGGCAGCCTGGGGGAACCCTTGTGTCACCTCAACACCACTGGCTCGTGCCCAGCCCTGAGCCTCCATTCTCTTACCTCCTCTGTTTCTCCCTGTCTTTGGGTAATGCCTTTGCTATAGCTCTTGGTGTAGTTCTTTTTGCTCCTCGCAACCCATACAACGTGCATGGGGATTTTGCGGCTGCCCCTGCATCCCATGGGTATTTTGGGAAGCTGTCGACTGTGATTTAAAATCATCTGCCTGGCACCCGTGTGGGGGCCCATGGCCTTGCTCCCTGCTTTGACCAGGGTCCAGCTGTCCCCTGGGGTGAGTTGGAGCCTCCCTGTCCCTATGGCCGGCCATGGGTCTGCTCGCCCACGGCCGCTCTGGTGCTGGCCCGGCAGTGGGCCAGGGCGATATTTGAACCTTCCTGAAATAGAAACGGACCTGGGAGCAAGCATGGGGTGGGAGGGGGTGGCCCAGTGGGGTAAGGGAAGAGGGCTGGGGACATGAGATCTGGGGGCTGAGAAGTGGCTGGATGGCAGCAGCACCCCAGGATGGGCCGTGGCATGGGGACAGAGCACCCAGCTAAGCTGTCCCTGTGTCCCACGTTGTGCTGGCTGTCACTGGGGCCGCTTATCCAACGTCCTGCAGTACGTGTGGTGCTATACCACTGCTCCTGCTGCAGCAGCCACATCCTGGTGGTGTTGAGTCGTGCTCTGGGTAAAAAAGTTGGGGGGCTGGGGATAGCTTTTCCTCCTCTGGCTATCCATCCATCCCCTGTGTTCCCAGGTGCAGCAGGAGCTGCAGACTGAGATGACGGGGTGACGCTATGGGTGCTGCCTGGTGGCAGTGCCCCCCCCCCTGCCGTTGGAGGGGGCATGGCTGGCATTGCTGAGTGACACCCTATCTGCCAGGCCCCGGCCAGCCGCGGGCCCAGAATAGCAGCGCTGCCCTGCAGTCAGCATGGAGCAACTCTCCGGCCCTGCCGCTCCCCAGGTACCCTCAGGACGGGTGGGGGGCCAGGCTTGGTAACCCCCACTTGGGACCAGCCATGCCGGGTGGGGGGTTGGTGGCACCTGTTCTGTGGCTGGATTGGTGCGGGGACAAAGACGCAGGGCACAGCACAAACCTGCCTGCCCCCACTGTCCCTAGCTGCTGGGGAATTATTGGGGTGGGGGGCATTTGTGTAAGGTCACCTCCCTGCCAGGGCAGCTCTGGCCTCCTTAGAGAGCAATCCATGTAGCTTTGTTGTTGTAGGGTGGCGTGTAAACATTGGCTCTGCTGGCAGCTCTGCTCATGGTTCGTGCTGCTTTGTTATGGTAGGGTCGTCTGGGGGACTGATGGGGGCACGGGGCCAACCGGCTTGTTCTGATTGTTCCCCCTGCTGCCTGGGCTCCCCCTTTGTTATTGTAGGGTCTCCCAGCGTGAGGCTGGGCATACCTAGACCCATGTGGCAGGTGGTGCTGGCAGGACTCTCAGCATCAGAGGAAGCTGGAGTGGGATTTACACCTTGGGGACTAGGGGAGGGAGAGGAAGGGCACGGGGTTGCCTCAGCTCGGACAGTGAAGGGAGCATTGTGTGTTCTGGCATCCCATGCCCTGCACCTAGGATCCTTCAGGAGTAGGCAAGCTCTGTCCCAATGGGGCCTATGCTGGCAGAGAACTCTCTGGGGGTTGCAGCCTGGGGTGGGATGAGGTGGGGGTGAGGTGGGCTAGCTGCTGCTGACCCCCCCCCGTCTCTGCATGCCCCTGCAGATGGTGCTGCTGGATGCTGCTGCCCGCCCCATGGAGGAAGGTGGGTAGCACACAGGGGGACAAGCAGCATATATATGGATAGCAGGTGGGGCTGGCTCACTCATGCAATGAGTGCATAAGCCCTTAGCCTGCTTGGAAAGCCCATGTCACCTCACTCAACTCCTTCCAGGCTGAACAGCTGCTGTGCTCTGCACTGCCTCTGTCCCTGCAGAGTGGGGTCTGGGGGTTCTGCTGCACTGAGACCCAGCAGCTCAGCTCATTGCTGGGGTAGGTGTGCCCACAGGGTTCCCAGAGGCACTACATCCCAGGGGAAATGAGGAGGAGGAGAAGGAAAAGCAGAAGGGCTCTGGGCCCATCACTTTCACGCTGGGCAATGAGATCCTGGGGCTGGAACCTGACAACAATTTCCAGAGCCCTGACGCTGAGGTCTACATGCACTTCATGAGGAGTCACTGCTGCTATGACGCTGTTCCCACCAGCTGCAAGCTTGTTGTCTTTGACACCACGCTGGAGGTGAGGCCACGAGGATCACTGGGGTCAAACTGGGCAGGGGGTCCTCCGTGTCCTCCTGACGCACTCCATTCTCTGCTGGCAGATCAAGAAAGCTTTTGTGGCACTGGTGGCCAACGGGGTGCGGGCAGCCCCACTGTGGGACAGCAAGATGCAGGCCTTTGTGGGTGAGTTCCTGGGCAGCCAGGGCAACAGAGGGACCGCTATGGGATGTGGGCAGAGTGGGCAGCCCCATGTCTCTGCAGGGATGCTCACCATCACTGACTTCATCAACATCCTGCACCGCTACTATCGCTCGCCCCTGGTGAGTGCCCCAGACTGTGATGGGCATGATTCTGCCCTCAGGGTGATGGGAGGAATGCAGGGGAATGAGGCAGCCCTTAGCCATGCCACCCTGAGTAGGGCATCTTCCTGCCCTCAGGTCCAGATCTACGAGGTGGAGGAGCACAAGATTGAGACGTGGAGAGGTAGAAGCTGGAGGTGACGGGGGGTGTCTGGGCTGGGGATGTCCATCATGTTCAGCGTGGGGGTGGCTCTAGGAGTGTGGGACACCACTTGCAGCTCTCTCCCTTTGCAGAGGTGTACTTGCAGGGCTCCTTCAAGCCGCTTGTCTACATCTCCCCAAGCGATAGGTGAGCTCCTGCCTAGGGGGGAGATCTGGCAAGACCCCCACCTGGGGGTGGGCACCAACTCAGGGCACTGGGGAGCTTCTGGGCACAGCCACATCCCCCCACCTGCAGCCTCTTCGATGCCGTCTACTCCTTGATCAAGCACAAGATCCATCGCCTGCCAGTCATTGAGCCCATCTCAGGCAACGTCCTGCACATCCTCACCCACAAGCGCATCCTCAAGTTTCTCCACATCTTCGTGAGTATGAGGTGGAATGGAGATGGAGCAGTCTGTTGCTGCAGGGTAGGGTATGTACACAGTGTGTGCTCATGTGCACTGCCTGCTCCAGGGCTCCACCATCCCCAAGCCGCGCTTCCTAAAGAAAACAGTGCAGGAGCTGTGTGTCGGCACCTTCCGTGACGTGGCTGTCATACCTGAGAATGCTCCTGTGTATGCTGCTCTGGAAATATTTGTGGACCGCCGTGTCTCTGCGCTGCCCGTTGTTAATGCTGCAGGTATCCTGTAGCTCCTGCCCTATGCCCACCTCAACATCCCCTCCTGCCATCCCCTCCTCACCCTCTCCTCTGTCTCCTTGCAGGTCAAGTGGTTGGGCTCTACTCCAGGTTTGATGTCATTGTGAGTATTGAGCATGTTGGCGTGGCCATGGTAGCAGTGGGAGCACATCCTGAGCATCACCATTCCTCCCAGCACCTGGCAGCACAGAAGACCTACAACAACCTGGACATCAGCGTGCGGGAGGCGCTGCGGCAGCGCACTGTGTGCCTGGAGGGCGTCCTCACCTGCTACCCCCACGAAACCATGGAGGACATCATCGACCGCATCACCGAGGAGCAGGTGAGTGGCAGGAGCACATCCCTTCCATTCATCTGTGCTATTCCCTGCTCGCTGCCCACCTGTGATACTCTGCACCCACAGGTCCATCGCCTGGTTCTGGTGGACGAGAACCGGTACCCGCGGGGCATCGTCTCCCTCTCTGACATTCTCCAGGCCCTGGTGCTCACTCCCGCAGGTATCGATGCTCTTAACTCTTAGCCCACGACGCTCCATCTTTCTCCATTCGCACCCTCCATTTCTCTCCACTTCAGGTAGGCGCTGCCCCTCTGCCACTGCAGAGCTGGCCAGGGAGGGGGGGATCTGGGAGCACTGGGGGTGCCCAGGTGGTGACACAAGGTGATGGCTGTCCCAGGGTCTCTAGGTGGGATGCAGGTTGCACAGTTCTTAGGGCTGGGTGATGGTTTTGGGGACATGATGCAGCCCAAGACAAAACTTAACCTTTTGGCATCGCTTCCTCGTCTTCATGTCCACCTGGTCCCCAACAGTGCCCCGTGCATAAGGTGTCAGGGCTGCATTAAGCAGGCATGGGACCTGCACAATGCCCACATGGGTGGCAGTGCCAGGGGGAGACCAGCAGTATATCCCCCTCCAGACCAACCCCATCTCCTTCACCAGTACTTGTACACGAGTCCGGGATGAAGGTTGTCCCTGTGCTCTGTGTCCCGCAGCTGCAGGGTGGGATGCAGTGCTATGCTGCAGGGTGCCCAGCCCCGTGTGGTGCCCACAGGGGAGTTATGGCCTCGCACACTCTCTCGCCCTGCAGGCATTGATCGACACTCGCTCTGAGGACACCAGGGAAGTGCCACAGGCTCATCCAACGCGGGGCCTCTTGCTCGGGTACCGCAGGGCCGTGGAAGGAGGCTGGGGGCCCAGGGGCTCTCCATGGGGTGGGGCTGCCCACCTACCCTGGCCCTGGGATTCACTCTGAGCCTGGGGCCAACTCCTGCCAACCTTGGGAGGAACAGAGCGGGGGAAAAAGGGTCCAAGCGTGCCTCCAGACTGCGAGCACACAGGGATGCTCAGTAGGCACCGTGCCACCAGGAGCTGTGCAGCTGGACACAGGAACACCTGCATGGCCCTGGGGGACCTTCAACATCCCCCCCTCCCAGCGACTGCTGTCCCCTCCTGCTGTGAGACCCCAGTGCTTCAGGTCCCACTGGTTGTGCCGGGTGCCTGGGAGGAGCGCATGGCTCAGCTGCACGCACAGGCTTGTTTTTTGTAGGGTCTCCAGGGCTGAGCGCTCTGGTAGAGGTGCTCACAGGGGGACCCTGTACACTGATAGGGGGATGGGGGGTAATTTATTTATTTGCCAGTCTCTTCAGCCTTGCTGGAATAAAGCAGCCTACCCTAGGCACCGTGTTGTGGCCTTTCTGGGCATGCAGCCTGGCACAGCTCTTTGGGATAAGGCTGGGGATGGGGTGGCCCACCTCAGCATAGCCAGAAGGATGGGGATGTTGGCTTACACTGGGGTGTGCAGCTCAATGGCTCCGCTGGGGCTGAGGTGACTCCTGAGCCCATTCTTCCCCCCACTACTTTGCCCCTGCCCCCATAACTGCATTCCTGGGGAAGGACAGCTGACGGCAGAAGATCCCCTGTGCTCTGTAGTCCTGGTGCTGCCAGGAGACATGGTGCCAGCACCCATCCCTGTAGGGTCACCTGACTCCATCCCTTGGGACCACACACAAACCCTAAAACCCCATCACTCAACCCCAAACCCTGCTGGCAGCTTAGCCCTGCAGTGTGAGGAAGGGGGAAACTGAGGCACGGAGAAGGGGCTGGGGCCAAGGTCAGTTATTCAGGCAGGACCCCAGGCACAGCTCCACACGCAGCGGCACAATCACGGGACGAAGAACACCCACCCAATGGCTGCAAACCCCTCCCTGTGCCCCCTGGTTCCTGTGCACGGGGCAGATGGGGGCACTCCCGGTGGCATGTGAAAGGCACAACGATGCCCTGAGCTCAGGGGGCCCCCGGGCGAGCGATGAACTCCAGGTTGATGGGCTTGTCAGCCACCAGGACGATGCGGGACACAGATGTCACCTCCACGCCACGGGGGTCTGGCCGCACCTCGAAGGCTTGGATGATCTGTTGGGGCAGACAGAGGGGCAGCAGTGCCTCGAGACCAAACCAGACCAGCATAGCTCATGGTGAGCTTCCCAGGATGGGAGACCCCACTCACCCTGGCGAGGGCCAGGTGCATCTCCAGCTCAGCGATGCGGCGACCAACGCAGGCACGGACCCCATAGCCAAAAGGGATGGAGCTGAAGGGGTGGTGGGGGGAACCGTGTCCCCGGAGCCAGCGCTGGGGCAGGAAGCGCTCCGGCTCGGGAAAGTAGGTCTCGTCATGGGACATGGCATAGTGTGCCAGGACAAAGAGGGTCTGTGGGGTGAGAAGGGGTTAATGCCCTTGGATGCAGTGGGTTACCCCCAGCACAGCCCCCACTCACATTCTTGGGGAAGAGGTAGTCTCCGATGATGATGTCCTTCTCATAGAAGACCCTGGCGTTGGTGGGCACCACGGGGTACACCCTGAGCCAGGACAGGGGGAGAGGCGTTGTGGGAGATGAACATCTCTTGCTGCTCGGTGGCTCCATCTCCCTCTCCAGGGAGGAGATGGGTGGCTGAATGTGACCCCAAGGGGCTGTAAGCCAGCTCTACACCCTGGCCAATGCTCCCATGTCCCACTCCATGGGTCCCCTGCTAAGCATGTGCTCTCATGTGGGGGAACAGGCTGTGCCAATCCAACTACTCACCCCAACCCAAGAGGGAACAGGGGTTATACCTCAGCGTCTCCTTGATAACAGCCCGGAGCATCGGCATCTTGGGGATATCCTCAGCACCAGGAAACCGGTCTGGGGGCACGACGGCTTTCAGCTCCTGATACAGGGTCTCCTGGATGCCCAAGTCTCGGGAGAGGTGGTAGAGAGCCCAGCACAATGTGTTGGAGGTCTGGGGGTGCAGAGGGAAAACAGGAGTGAGAAGCAGTGAGAATGGGGAAAGTGAGGCATGAAGCAGACAGGTGGCAGAGGGGGTTATGGGGTCTCCACTGACTACTTCCCTGCCCATGCCCCTAGCGCTGAGACTGGGGTGTTCTGGGGATGCCCCGGTGGCCCTCACCGTGTCCACGCCAGCCAGCAGCAGCTCAGCCACACTGCCATACACCTCGTCCAGGCTGAGGTGGCCGCTGGCCAGCAGGTAGCTCAGATAGCCCTGAGACACCTCCATGCCCTTCTCCACGTGCCCCTCCAGCTCCTTCATCTTCCGATCGATCAGCCTCTTGCCTGCAGGGATGGACACCCGATGCTGACAAAGCGGGTGGTGAGCCCAAGGTGGCCAAAATCGCTGCTCCCCATTCAGGATCACAGGGGTCCAATCCCATCTCCGTGGCTCACCAAAGGCAAAGATGGTGTCCCAGCTGTCCAGGTAGCGGTCCCAGAAGGGCAGCACCTTGCGGCTCCAGCGGGGCAGGACAGTGGCAAAGATAGAGTTCTTGAACATGAGGTTGATGGAATCGATGAAGTGCTGGGTCTCGGCGGGGACCTGCTGCTTCAGGCACCCAATGCGGGTCTCGAAAAGGATATAGGAGATCCCTGCGGGGGACAGGCAGCATCCAGAGCCCCGCGGGGATGGGGGGAGCGGAGTGGGGCTGAGGCCCCCCTACCTTCCAGGGCGAAGCGGTACAGCAGGTTGGCCACATCCCCCACCAGCACCCCTGAGGGGCTGCGGCTCCGCTCGTCCCGCAGCCGCACCATCAGGTCAGACACCACCTCACCGATGGCATCCGCGTACAGCACCGCCTCCGAGGGCTTCAGCAGCCGCTTGTTGAGGACCTGCCGCAGGCGGTACCAGCGCTCCCCTTCCCTGCATGGGGATGGGACTCGGTGCATCCCCAATCCATGGGAGCATCCTGCACCACGCCACCCTGATCCCTGGCAATCTGTCCACCCACTGTGGGTGGCTCTGGGCAGAAGGAGCAAAGGGAGCTCCTATCTGCATCCCCACATCGCTGTGGGGCCGGACTCACTCAGTGAAGGGTCCGTAGGGCAGGCGTCGCGTGTCCCGGTGCTCCTTCCATAGGGCCATGTCGCTCCGCATCGGGTACTTGCCCTCCTGCCGCAGCAGCTGCTCCAGCACCACCGGGCTCCCGATGTTGATGTTCTGGTAGTGTCCAAAGGTTGACCTCCAGATGGGGCCATAGATGCGCCGGGACATTAGCTGCAATGTACGCGCAGGACAAGGTAGGGTGCATAGTACATCAGGGCAGGGGGCAGCACTCAGCACTGAGCACAGACTGGTGCATGGCATAGAGTGGTGCATCCATCGTCCACCCCAGAGTGCATGGAGAGCCTTGGCAAGACCCAGAGAGGACAGCAAGGACAGGAACAACTGCCATGCACAGGGCAGGAAGATGCAGGCCCATTGTGGTGGCTGTCAGCAGATCCACAGAATCACCCAATCCCCACTCTTCTAAACCCAAGGACAGCCCTTGAACCCACCACCGATAAGGGTGGTTAATGATCAGCGCTGTGCACAGCGCTGGGGCCACACAAGGCCTTGGGGACATACCATCCAGGGAACACCCACCAGCCCTGGTCCTTCTCTGGGCTCAGAGTTCTGCTGTGCTCATACCCTAACTCTAACCCTAATCCCACACCCACCAAAGCCATGGCCCTCTCAGAGCACCACTACCCCAGGCACTCTGGGGTCAGCTGAGCACGCCCTTGCAATCCACAGGGACATTTCCAGGGGGTGTTTGACACCTTGCTGGGCACCAAGAGCCCCTCTGGAGCTGGGCTGAGCCTGGGGAGCTGTGAGCACCCTACAGGAAAGCCCCAGTTCCCATTCCCCTGGCTGCTGGGATGCACGTGGTACAATCTCCCTTGGTGACTGCGTTGCAGCCTGAGCCCAGATTCATCTGGATTTGTCACCACCAGGAGACAGACGTTCCTCGTTCGTGGTGGCAGCAGAAGGGGGAGGGACGGCCACCCCAGTGCTGCAGGCAGCATCCCAGGAAGAGGGGCCTGAGAGTTAGGGTCACACAGGCTGTGGGTTAGGATCAAAGCCTCTCTGCCATTGGGTGCTCACAGCCATAACCCAACACAACGCAGGCCTTGTGCAGCAGGGCAGGGAGAAGCTGCTGGGATCCAAGGAAGGCATCTCCAGAGCTGTTTGTAAAGCTGGGCCTTGCTTGGAGCCCCGTGGAGCAGCAGGGACCCGTGCCTGCTCCCTGACCCCTGCTGCCCTGTGACAGTCCCTTCACCAACAGCAGTGCCAGCTGCTTGGTGGTGTAGGGAGGCTCCATTCTGCACTCCTCCTGTTCCCATCCTGCACTCAGCTCCCGGACATGGCAGGTCGGAGCTCCTGGCTGCTGGAGGATTGGATGCCGCTTGGCTCACGGCCAGCCAAGCCCATGGCTTGCTTCATCTGATGTATGAGGAAATGTTCGGAGAAGGAAACAAACACCTCTGCCTGTTTCTATCCTGCCTTCCCAGGCACCACCTGCCCCACATCTAACCCCAGTGCTACTGGCTTGGGGTGCCAGGACCCTGCACACAGCCCCCAGATCATCGGGGACCGTTGCCGTGCCCAGCTCAGGCACTGGGGGCAGCTGGAGAAACCCTTCGGTGTCCCGCTCTGTGCATCACCCCAGGGGTAGCGGGGTGCACCTTCCCCCAACGCTGCCCACCCCCATCTCCCCGCAGTCACTCAGTGCTCACCCCACGCCGGTCCCCGGCACACCTCTGCCGCAGCATCACTCCCCACCGCGCCCCCAGAGCATCCCCTCGTCTCCACACCCCCCGGGACCCCCCGGGCACCTGGAGGCGGTGCGTATGCAGCAGGTAGCCGCGCAGGAAGAGCCAGACGAAAGTCCTGAGCAGCCCCGGCCCCGGCAGCTCCGCCGGTCCCTTCAGCCGCGCCGGCCCCGCCGCCGCGGCCGCCGAACTGCCGGTCCTGTACGGCGGCCCCGGGCAGATCGGCGGCGGCGGGCGGAGGCGTAGGGGCAGCAGCAGCCGCCGAGCCCCGCCGCTCGGGCCCGCCATGCTCCGTTGGCAGCGCACGGGACGGGGCGGTGCGGAGCGGTGCGGGAGGCGGCACCGGGGGCGGTGCGGGGGGCGGTGAGGAGGCGGCACCGGAGCTGGGAAGCGGGCGCCGAGAGCCGGGCAGGGGCAACGCGAACCGAGTGCCGGGTACCGGGAAATGCACGGAGGGTACCGGGTGCGGTGTGCGCCTCGTGCAGCAGGCAACGGGCACTACGTGATGGTTGCTGCGCACCGAAAGCCGTGCGGCAAACACTGAGTGCAGTGCACTGATTGGGATGGCTGCTCCTCCTGGCCTGCCCTGTCCTTGCC